AAGTTTCTTTAACATTCACAATAAAAAAAATTAATAAAATGAAAATTTCATCTGTGATCTTTTTTAGAAATTGCGACGCAGTTACGCGTAACTGCATGGCAATTTTTCGCAATTATAGGTCACAGTGCGATCGCAGTTACGGGGTAACTGCGTCGCAGTTTGACTGCAGTCGAACACATGGGATATGATACATCATTATAAGATCAGGAGTAAAGAGAATGCAAATATCATCATGAGAATCCTATTATATAGAACTCCTAGTAAACCTTTTATTGCAATCTGATAAAAAAAACAACAATAAAAATATAGATAGAACTTTTTTCGTACTATGCAATTAGATCCTAGATCACTGACATTTGTTAGCAAATTCTGCTTTAATTATGCATTCAATTCATGATTTCAAAACAATGAATCCTATGCGATAAGTTAGGTATCGAAAAATTCTAAACTTAGTTTGCAATCAAATGAGATTCTTACTGATAGAAGCAAGTTTCTGTAAACATGTATTTTTACATTGAAAACGTTTTACTTGTGCTGCTGTCTATCAATTTCGTCACAGTGATTCTTGACAGAATGACAAAAATATGTCGACGTCCCTAACTAACTCGTGATAATTATGTTTCTTTTTCAGTTTTGAACTAAATCATGTAAAAATATTCTGCATATATTCATTGCTTCTATATTTTATATAGATGTCGCTCGTGGAGAAGTGCATCTGTTAATAATCACAAGAAAGCAAACTCTTTTAATCTTTTTGATAATATACCTATCGGTTATTATTTTATTTGTTATTTGCCATGTCCATTCGAGTTTAAATCTGTACAGACAAATCCTATATATCAGCTGATACTGTCTGTTATAGTTTATTGAAATATTTTTGTCTGTCAAAAATCAAAAGCAGTGCTTTAAAAGATGAAAATTTTATATTTTAATTTGTATACCATAAGAACTTCACGGAGCTCTATCCTGTATCCTTTTCTGCTTTGCTCGGTAAACGAGAAGAATTCAAAAATTGTTATTTTCATGCTATTCTGCTGCAAGAAGGGATGAGACAAGCTTATTCTACTCTTTCCACAACTCTCATATGCACCCATTAGCATTGTTGATCACCGTTATTCAAAACCTTCTTGAAAGTTCCACTTTTCTTTTCAAACGCAAATATTTATATAGTAAGAAAGGAAAAAAAAATTGAAAAGAATGAAATCTTTGTGAAATGATAGCTTTGAATAAAATAAGTCCATATCTAATATATTGTTTGCATGACTAGATACGAACTCGAATAATGAATATATTATATAATCAAATTATTTATTTTTTATCCAAAAAACGTATCCCAATGAGGTCTTCGTCCGTAGGTAGGTGGTGGTCGATTTCGATGACCAGAACTCTGTTGACCAGGAAACATAAAAAATCGTCGATTTTCTGATGTTAATTGTTCTCTTTTATGGGGCATGTCATTATCTTTTTGATTGCTGTTGCTGTCGTCATCGTCATTTTGACTGCTACTGCTGTCGTCAGCATCATCTTGATAAAACTTTCTTTCTCGATTTTTCAAAAGTGTTAATAATTTTGAATAACTCGGCAATTCAAGAGTATTCTTTCTTGATACTTTCGAAGCAGGTTCATTATTTTCTATTGATCCTGCTGGTACTAGACAAAAGAAAAGACTAATAAAAAAAAATATCATGTGTAAATATCTTTATCTTACCACATAAAAGAATAACGAATATAAAAACTATTGAGAGTATTAAGGCTTGCATTACGATTGATAAAAAATACGAATGATGATGTCAAATAGTCAAGTGTAATGTATGCCTATGTATATATATAAGAATATGTAGTAGGTGATAGAAGGAAAGATCAATTTGTAAATTTTATGACAAAATTTTTCTTTTACCCTACCACACTTATAAAAAGCAAAAAAAATGGTATGAGATTTTTTTATTGACGTTGTTGTCATCAGAAAAAAGTTTCGCCCACATTTCAACCATGAAAAAACAAACACAACTTTATTCACACACTCTACTTTTTTTTTTCAAAACACGTTTATGGGGAAAAAAAATATTTTGCTAATGAAATGATATATCATATATACTAACTGTACTCGAACGCATCTCTTATAAAAATATACTTATTCAATAAGTTGACAAATTACTTAATGTGTGCTCTCTTGATTAATCATTTCAATGAGCTAGAATTGTTAATAATACGAAGGCGTTTGGTGAAGAATGTCAAATTTTGTAATTCCACATCAACAATGAATAATATAAAATACGAACCTTTCATATATTATTTTAATATGCATGTAATAGGCTATCAAAGAACGAGAAAGACTTACATATGTATATGTACACGTAAATATTAATGAATAACCATTCTATAGAAAATTTATTGCAAGTAGATTTATTGACTGTCATATTTCTCTCATTAAATATCCATCGAAAAAAAAATACATAGTGACCATGATATTTTCAACCAACTCGTTTCTATCTTATATTATATCATTTGATTCAATAATAAATTTTTTAATAAATAAATGAAGACATATTATATTGCATATATAGACAGGAGTATATTTTTGGGAATCGGTAAAAGTGAAATAAAAGAACATTATACAAATCAGATGAAATTAACGAAAAACAAAAAGACAAACAAAATTTTTAATGAATAAACAACAAATAAAACGTCTGTTTTTTTTTTTTTTTTTTTTTTTTACACAAAATCATTTTTGCTATTGAAGGAGAGAAGGAGATGAAAGCAAAACAGAAGGACAAATTACACTGACATATACGATCATATTATATTATTCATCTTCAATCTGTTGTACTGTATTGTTGATAATAACAAATGAAGTATTTAACCAAATATGACTAGAACAAAATAAAAATGATGACACAAGGAAGACAATAGAATTGTAATAATTAGAAAATAAAATTGGGAAAGAAAAATGTTTAAATTGAATTGAGAAATACATATTAAGATCCATGACATTATGATCTATTTCTTAACATAATAAAATTAAACTTTTTTTTTTTCATTATTATTGCTGTTGATCATGTCCAGCTGCCAAATATGAAAATACACATAAAATGGCATAACAAATACGATCAGCCTAAAATTATATTAATATATTTAATGTAGAAAATATTTAAAAATAATTTTTTTTTTTTGTATCATATTAACATTAAAATGAGAAATAATTAAAAAGAAATATTAAATAAAATATTTATAATAGCATAACTGTCCTGTTATATGTACGTTTTAAGCAGAGGATCGTTTTTTTTTGATGCGCTACATTGTTTTTTTTGTTAAGAGCATTTCTTCACTCAGTATTTTTTTTTTTAAATACATAAAAAATTCATTATTTTATAATTGACTTTTATTTCTTTAGCAATTGACCTTTAGTAAGCTTCTTTTCTATCGAGCACTACATATATTCAAATAAATTTGAAAAAACATAATTATAAGAATGAAACATTAGTAGGCAGTAGCAATAGGAATGATTAAGAAGAAGATTAATTTTTGCGTGATTTTGAAGCATAAAAAGTAAAACTCAGTAGGGATGTAACTTTAACTCCTATATGTAATTTTTATCGATTTTTAATCGTAAATATTAAGATAAGCTTTAGATAATTATTCAAAAAAAAAAAAAAGAAAACATTCCCAATACATTATTAAACATAAATCTATTTCTATTGATTATAAAATACCAACAATACCTAATCCATCGATAGCCTGCTGTGTATGATGATTATTGACATTGGATACAGGGTTAGGAGAAGTTAGTTTTCGACGTTCAACCATAATAGATACAACACGATGAAAAGCAAGCAGGGCGCTACTCGCCTGGACATATAGCACAAGACAATATTGAAATAAAACAACATTTAATAAGATTACAGCTAATCTACATGAACGAATAAACCTTACCGTTGGAGATTTATATTTTCTAATAAGTATTTGTTTTGTATTTGGATCTAATAAAATTTAAAAAAAAAAATAAAAGAAAACAAAAGATCGTATTTTCTATTTATTACCAAATTCTTCAAGTACAAATATATCTCCTTTTTGTGTTGTACATTTTCGAATTTTTTGTAATTCAATAAATTCCTACATATAAATAAAAGTAATTAAAAATTATTGAAATGAATTTGGTCTTTATTTTTTCTTTTTAATATTCACTTTATCATTTTCAAATGTTAAGCAAATGCCTTCAAGACAAACTTGTAAAATTCCTCCTTCACCTGTATTAACATCTCTTATTGGAAATTCACCACCTAATTCTTGACCTTAGACAGAAATTAGAAATTATTATTATTATTTTTTAAACACAAATATTTTCTTTACCAGGTAAAGAACCTTTCATTCGTGATGCTGCTTTTTCCATAGCTTCTTTTATTGAAAAATATAAATCACGGCACTAAAAAGAATAATTTCTAAATAAAATTTCTTTTTTTTTTATTCATTTATTTTTTATACTCGTTTTGTATAAAATTTATTAAGTTGTGTTTCACCATCAGCTTTACGCCATAAACAAAGTACTTTCGTTTTTGGACAAAATGTCATATTAACTAATTTTTCAAACCAACAACGATCATAAACTTCACCAAGTACACTTCGAAGTATAATACAATCGTCCCAAACCTAATAAACAAAAATAAATAAAAAAAAAGAAAACAATTATTTTTCTAACCTCCATAAAAAGCATATCTCCTGTATTATCTGTTCCCCAATGTACAGTAAAACTTTGTTTTTGTAATAATCGACTACCAACTGGACGTAAATCAACATCATTACCATTCTTAAAAAAACAATAACAAATATTCAATTAAAAGAAATAGTTTGATATTTAGTTTTTCTTTTTATTCTAATTAAATATTTACTAAATTTGAAATATTATCAAGTAATTCATTGACTTGTTGACTCATTGTTAAACCAATATGACAACGACCTAGTATTCGACGAATTTTTCGACGAATTTCTTCTTTACTAACACGCATCATTATCATAAATGCAATTAAATTATAAAGCATAACAGCTAATAAACGATCTTCATCTAATTCTAAACGTTTACGATCAGCATTTGATAATGAATAATAACTAAAAAAAATTCAAAATTTTTAGTTGAAAAAATTTTTTTTTTTTCTTTGTTTATTAATTTTACCGTTCCATCATTTCAGCTGGACCTTGATCAAGACCAATAATATCACGTTCTTGTGCAACAGCATCAAGAAAAACATCTTCCCATACTTGCATTTGATCCCATAAATGACTACGTGAACTACCAATAAGAACTTCAAATAAATATTGTTTATCATTAGAAGTCGATAAATTATTTTCTGCTACTTGAAGAACTGATCCATTACGAAATCTATATCAATAAATAAAAATAATATATATATATACAAAGAAGAAATAATTGATCGATTGTTTTTAAGTCATATAGATAATTGTAGTCAAATGCATAGTTTTTTTGTTGTATTATGCGTTATTTATTTCGAAATTATTTCTATTATGATACTTACATCATGCGATCAATTAAATTCAATCTAAAGATATATCAAATCTAAGCATTAAAATTTCATACAAATATATTTTAGAATGACAGCAAAAAAAATACATGTTTTTCTTCATGATTATGCTGATCCTAAATATTATTGAAATAATTCGATAAATGAAATTGTAAATATTATGCAAAATAGTAAAAAAAAACAGTAGATATTGAAAATTAATAGAATATATTTGACACTCAACATTAGTCTAACAATCTGTAATGAAGCTGTTCGTATTAGTTTGATTTATAATCAAACTTGATCACGAATTCGATAGTCTATGAAAATAATAGAAATTACTCTTCTCCTCTAGAATTAGAAAATCATGACTTTCTCTTATGAAAATTCATATCGTTCCTTCAAAGGAGATATTCTATAACAGACTAGTTTTTACCTAGAAAATCAGAGGTACTTTTGTTAAGATTTTTCATTTGAAAACGATGAATATATCGACATAAATATACTAATTATAGTTCCCATGTTGCAATAATTAAAAGGGATTTTCTATTACATATGATACATTGTTCATCAAAGGAATGGTATCAACTTTTGAAAAAATTCATAATCTTCTACTACGGTTTAAACTTATTCTATAATGTTTTTATATATTTAAATGACGAGTAAATATTGAATACCTATATCCTGCAGAAAAAGAACTTTTCGATGTTGTTACATTTGATAATCGTCGAATTTTTAATTTTTCATCATTCCATTGATTTGATGTACGTATATGATGATGATTTATTTTTGATTGACGTCGACTAGATGAACTTGAATCTGTTCCACTTTCTTCATCAGTTACTATTGAATTTATACGTGAATTATTAGCAATTGTTTTCGATGTTGACTAATAATATTTATGAACAAAAACAAAAACAAAACAAAAAAACAAATTTTATTCAATAAAATATACTAACGTCATTCGTAATATTCAATGAATCAGGTCGAACATGATTTTCTGCTGCTATAAAATAAAAACAAAATTTAGAAAACGTTTTTATCAAAATTTCTGCGACATAAAGAAAGTGAAACACAATTTAGCTGCTCTTGTTAATGATTTTTGTGACGTAGAGGGAGCAGGGTAGTATTGCTAAGGTGATTGTGATGATGTCTGACAAGCATCCATCACGATAACTGTCTTGAGTGACTATGGCTTTTCTCAATCGGAGTCAAATCAGAGCTAATCGACATCTGACAGATGCTGTCACAGTCATCGTATAGTTTTTCCCATAAACAGTAAAAAAAATAGTAAATAATTCAAGATTCACTTGGTGTTGTTCTGCTTCTAAAATTCAATCAATTTTGTTAACTAAGTGTACATTTGTTTACTGCTGATGACTCTAGAATCGAACGTAGTATTGATGACAAACTTCATAATTACGATTTTCAAGTACAATAAATTGCTTAGATTTTAACTTCAATGCTTTTTTTAGAAAAACTAGTAGTTTCAAAATGCAAAAAAAAAAATATTTTGATAAATTGAGATATCATGAATTATTAAATCAAGTTGCAGAAATCTAAATTTTTACTTTCATACTTCAACATTCATTTTAGATTGTGTTTCACAAAAACAAATATAAATTCAAATTTTAATTTACTTGTTTCGAACGATTCGTTTGTTATTCGTTTTTGATCGTTGGCATTGATGTTGCTCGTCGATCTATCTTCTGAAATAGATATCGTTTGAGATGAAATTTCTACATTCTGATATTCATCACCGTTGACCTCGACCGGATCTAAATAAACCGAAAAAAAAAAACAAAATGAAATAAGAACAAAGATCATCTAATAATATCTCTGTTGGTTTTCAAACACATTCAAAACAAGTAATAAATTACATAACAAACAACACAAGATTTACTATATTAAATGTACCCTGTATTCGATCTGTATTCATAGGACGAATATTTGAATTTATATTCGATGATAATGATGAACTAACAGTAAGTGTCGAATAAAACGGTACATGCGGTGAAAATGAATGTTTTGGATTAGTGCGAAGTTCAACATTTCCTCCAAAATTCATACTTGCTTGTGCAGCTGTCGCATAGCTACGTGCAAGTGCTAATTTTGATTCACGCCATAAACTTCCTGAAATTTTTTTTTTTAAATTTATTTTTACCTTTATCTAAAAAACATATTAAAAAAAACAACAAGATTCCTATTTACCTAATTGTGCAACAAGTCCTGTATTTGGATTTGTTACATTGCTTTGCTGCTGCTGCTGTTGTTGTTGTTGTTGTTGCTGTTGAGTTGGAATAATCGTTGAAAGTGATGTTGGATTCGATGAAATATTTGAATCAATTGCTGATAAACTTTCTCGACTACCACTAAGAGGACTATTTCGTTCGGACATTGGACTTAAATCATTTTTATTATCTTTTATCCAATAATGTGTATGTGCTATTTCAAGTAATTGAAATGTTGATGCCATACCACCAAGACCATTATTTTCAAATGTTATTTCAAGACCTTGTATAACAGCTCGTAAAATATTTGTCATACCTTTAAAAACAGCACGATTAACTTTCTATAGAAAAAAAAAAAAAAACAACAAATAAATTAATCAAATTATTTATTAAAAATAATTAACATACAACATCTTCAATATGATCATCTTCATCAGAATATTTTTTATCAAGATTTGTATTAAGACGACTAAGAACAAAGTTTCGATAATTTTCATCTTCCATTAATTTTTTAACACGATTTATTTTTAACCAACCAATACCTTGTCCATCAAGAACATTTGTAACAATATCTTTTAAAAATTGTTGATTTTCACTATGAGTATTAGCTTTTGCTTCAGCATTTTGTTGTCGTGTTATCATAGAAGCATTTGATATTGTTGTACCATGTTTGACTAGACTTGGTTTTTCTATTTTACGATTTTGTTTTGGAAATGGAAATGGTGGTGGACGATTAGCACGAATCAATGGAGAATTTCCTTGACGAGGATTTTCAGATGTTGATGCTATGAATGAGAAAAATGAAAAATTCAGATTGAGAAAAAAAAGTATGTATATATAATTATTTATTTACAGAGTAATTCAGACATTTTATTTGTTGCCATTTTTGCCATATTTGTAACTACTCGACCTGCCATGGTTGAATTAATTTCATCACCAACTTGTTGTAGTAATGAATGATTAACAGATGTTGTATTTTCTGAATCATTCTATAAAATAATAATATGTAATCGAGTGATATTTGTTTAATATGAACATAATGAAAAACTCTAATTACAAAGAAATCTTTTTTTTTGTGAAAATTTTAAATATGAAATAATATTACGACTTAATATATTAATAAAATAGAAAGTTTTTTGCTACCAATACAAAAACGTTGTCTTCATATATTTCAGGATCAGAACCACTACAATCTGCTTCCGCACATCTCTAATTGTGATAGATATATTCATCTTAAAGATTACTTCTATACTATGTCTTATAAATTAGCTTATTTAAATGAAACAAAAGCAAATAATGTAATATGATATTCATTTGAAGAGAATGAATAACATCATAAAAAAAACATAATGTTTGTCCTGCAGAGATTTTGTTCTATTAGATCAGAGAAAGTATAGAATGACGACAAGTTTTTTTTGTATTATTATAGAAAAGATAAATATGATATATCTACTCGATGTAAACGTCCAGATTTCATTGTTAATGCACTTGCTGTTGAATCATGACTATCTGTACGTGACACAGTTGTACGAGCACGTTGACTAGAATTTCCTTGAGCTGATATATTTTTTGGACGAATTTCTGGAGGTGAAATCTGTCCTGTATTATCTTCATTCATTATTGTTTTTGAATCAAAAAGTGGTCTTAATAAACAACAACAAAAAAAAAAAAAAGAATTAATAAAATTATTTTAATTTTTTTTTTTCTTTTTTTACTTTGGAAAACTTTTTGTAACTGGTGTAATTGTTGCTGAACTGGATTTTGAATCCATATCATGTATACTACTTGATAGATCCGGTATAATATCATTTGTATCATCTGAAGGTGAATTTAATCTTGAATTAACAAGAGAATTTGAACTTGAACTTATTGTTGATTCACTCATTGATTGACTTGATTCATTTCCACTTGTATTTGGACTTGGAGTTTTATTTGAACCACTATCAGGAATTTCTAAATATTCTGGTGGACTATAAACAGTTGAATATTCTACACAAGCTGTTTTTTCTTGGTTCTCTGGATAAGTTTTAACAACTAAAAGAAAAAAAAAAAAAATTTTGATTAAAAAAAAATTTTCTATTTTTTTTTTTTTTTGTTAACCTCGAATTTCTCCACATATTTCACTATTAATCATTTCCGATACAAAATCACTTAATGATGTATAATCAGAACTTGAAGTATCTTCTTCAGAATCACTTCCACTTTCATCTTTAAATAAAAAATATTTTTATTTGTTTTTGAAAATTTAAAATTCAAAAAAACAAAAAAAAAAAAAGATTTTCATACCTGTTGCTGAATGTTCAATATCATGTGCTTTAGTATTAAATGAAGTAACTGCCTGACTAAGTGTACTATTTTCTTCGATGACTTTAAATGGTATTAATGTTAAATTTCGACTATACCATTTTGGTTTATCTCCAATAAGTGCTGGATCATAAACACCTGTTTGTACACGTAAAAATGCTACATTATCTGGACAAAGTGACCATTCAGCAAAAAATTCTACAGCCTAAAATTAATAAAATAAAATTTCTTAGGTAAAAAAAAATATTTTTTCTTTTTTTCTCTTCATATTTTACTTGTGTTTTTGCTAAACGAATAATAAATGCTGATTTAACTGGTCGTGATCTAATAAAACTACTATATTGAAAAGCTACAACAGCTCGTGGATGTAATCGTAATGTACGTGTATGTTCATTAAAATTGCCAAGTATATTTGGTGAATTAAAAAATCGAACCATAGCAACACGTGTAGCTATATCAACTGAATCAACATCATTACCATATATAAATGGATTATATGCTGTTGATGGTAATGGAATGGAATTATGTGTTGTCATTAAATATGATTTATCATTGAGCATAGCATCAAAACTTTGAATTGGTTCAGGATCTATTGACATACTACTTAAGGCTTGTTTTAAATGATTACTTAAAATATTATATTCAAATTCTGGAATGTCAAAAAATGGTTCCGCTTGTCGCGGTTGTATAATCTAAGATAAACAATCAAATTATAATTCTTTGATCTCAAAATTCAGATTGAAATATAGATGTTTTTGTATCATTCTTAATGTTATTTGTTGTTTTTTTTGTATGCAGAAAAAAGATATTTATTATGTATCAAGACTAAAGTTATATAGTGGTCGCAATTTATTATAATTAAAACTATTTATACATTCGTAACATTTGTGTTGTTATCGTTAGCTAAGAGCGATTTAATTTATTGTTCTTATTCGTGTAGCTATTAAACAAAATGGTATCAACTGTATCTTCACTAATGATAATATTGAATATGACAACTATCAATTGAGATGATCAGAAACAGAAATATACGAAAAAATATGTACCACGTTTAATGGTAACTGGACTATTTCCTCTATAATATTTCTTTAAAGAGAAAGTTTTTTATTTTTGAATACTTGTCTGAAAACAATAATATAACATTGAAAATATTATCAAAAAAGAAAATTTAAGAGTTCAGAAAACCAAAACACTATCTTATTTTTGTTTTGTTTTGACTACTTATAACTATAGAGAAAACAATTCTAGCTGAGATACAACGATCTTACAGAAATTTCAAAAGTTGCATCAGTGAACTTAGGTGATATCTTAGTGAAAATGAAATTCATTAAATTTTGGATTAGACGGATTTGTTATCAGGATCAATTTTTTTTTAATTTTCTTTACTCTTCAGCATTCGATGTATGTTCTTTTTTTTTAAATTTCTAGCAATGGAGCTTAATAACTGGTATGATTAAGGAGCACCGCTCTACTAATAACTAGGAAGAGAGGCGAGGTGGAGTACCCGTCCAGTCACCGTACTTCAAATTTTTCTTTGATAGCGCAAATGACGCACATCTCTGAAGTATATTTACTTATTAGATACTAGAACAACTTATTAACAATAATTGTTTGTCCAAGAAACTTATACATCATATAAGGAATGTAAAGAATTACGAAAAAGATAATAGCACATTAAATAACTTTTATTTAAAACAAATATCGATAACAGCACTTCTGTACTTATTAATTTGAATACTTGATAGACATCCAAGATATTAATTTTCTATATAAATCGATTATATAAAATTGAAAAGCTTATGTCATACACTTTTTTTTTTTTATATCTTCTCATAAATCTAATCCTATTATCTGTTCATAATAATATAACGTTATATAGTCTGTCATGTTTTCTAGCTAGAGCTCTTCTAGATTATTTCAGAAGACATTATTTGACGAAATATTTCTAAATCTAAATTTGACATTAAAAGACTATAGATGAAATTAAATAAAGATACAAACTTGATTTGCATCAAGATCAACAATCCATGTATCATCAAGTTTTTTTATTGGCATTCCTTTATAAGGAAAAAAACTTGCTGGTACACCAATAATAAATGGTGTTGGAATAAGTAGAAGCTAGAATACATTTTAAAAAAGAAAATTTTCTTTTTTTTTTTTTTTTAAATCATATTTGTTTACTAACTTGTTCGGCACCAGTCATACATGTTGGTAATAATGGTATAACAGGAAACATATATTCAAGTGGATAAAGTAATGCAACAAATGCCAAAACACTCATTGTCAATGCATTATAATCACGAGATTGAAATACAACCTAATTTAAATAACAACAAAATTATTGTTTTTTTTTTTTTTGTAACAGATGGTTCATATATAATGGTACATTTTGTATTTGCATGTTTTTCTTCTTAGTCAGTTTTGTTTGTAAAAACTTATGGCTAATATGCGCTTCTCCAACATGTACAAATTTTTAGAGAGTTCTTTTCTTGTGAAAAAATTCGATTTTTTTCTGATCATTAAACAAATATAAAACATATCTAAAAATTTATTGAGTGTAATGAACCGAGCTCTTTCTCATAATATACAATGAAGGTTATTTCAACTAAGCATGATGACATAGAGACTATCTTCTTGAAACTAGGTCATTAATAACTGAAATTTAAGTTTATACAATATTTTATTCTAATAAAATTTAACGAATGCTTCTGAATATCCTAAAACTGTTTATTCAAAATCATAATTTTTGTAAATAACATTTTCTTTTATGAATAACAGATGTTGACTTGAAAATTGTTTGAACATAGTGCTTTTTTTATGGATTACAGAATAGCTAATAAATTTATTTGGAGAATATATTAGAAAGTCACATACATTACAGAACGATAATATGATTCAGTCACGTTTTTTTGAAATTAGAAAAATTATATTAAACATTTTGAACTAAATTTTTTAGAAAATTGGAAGAAGACTATTTTGAAACTAGATATCAAATTTTTCAATGAAATCTAATTGAGAAAATACAAATTGTATCATTTGTTATAAATAACTTTCTGTTTATTACCTTATTTTCTAACATGATTAATGTTAAAACTCGTATACATAAATCTACACCAAGTAATTCAAGTGGTAGATGAAGAGGAAAATCTACAAGTGAAAATCTTGTATGATCAGGTAAAGCAAATAACATCGGTGGTTCATTTGGTAATGTTTCAATCTAAATAAAATAAAATATTTAAATAAAAAAAAAAAAAGAAAAAAACCTATTTTATTTTTACCAAAATTTTTGTTTTTCCTGGTATAGAAACTGGTGCACTTAATAATCGTAATATCCATGTTTCAATTTCTCGTACTTCATGACCTACTAAATTCGATGTACATTCACATGCTTGACCTGTTAATACACCCCAAACTGTTTCTCTATTCAAAATAAAATTAACATAGATTATAAATAGTAAAAGAATGTTATTATTGTTTTTGTTTTTGTATTCTAACCTAGATATTCCTTTTGATGCACCAGTACGTTTTGCACTTGATCGTTCATTACAAGCATCAATTATAGTTTTTAATGTAACAAGACATTCACGAAAACGTGTAAAAAATGGATGATGACTTATAAGACAAATAGATGTTAATGTATTATTTCTTAAACGTCGTTTACGTTTATGTTCTTTATTATTTATTTCATCATTATTAGTTGTTTGTTCATTTATTGATGTTGTATGAGTTGTATCATCGGATGAATCAGTTTGTTCAAATTTTTCTTCATTATGATTATGTATTGAACATGTACGTCGTGAAAAATGTCGATAAAAATTTACACATATACCAAAACGTTGTCGATTAGAATCTTTTTCAGTTAATGTAAATACAAATGATGTTAATTGACGAAATCCTGTACGTTGATGACCTGTATTTATACAACCTTCAGGTTGACAAAAAAATATAACATCAGGTGGTAATGAAAAATCTTTATGATCTTCTAATGGATAACGACGAAGTAATTCTGGTGTTTGTGTTACATGATTATATTTATTTGGATGTCGACAACCAACTATAATCACATAATCAACAAGACGTGGAGAAAAATAACGCTTTGTTTGTTCACACATTATATATGATAATAATCATCAGATCTGAAAATAGATAATGATGATGCCAATGTCTGTATTCATTATTTTTCGATACAAGTCAAACAAAATGCAAAACAGAACGAAGAAAAAAAAAACTCTCTTCATTGACAGGTTTATACATGAATGTATCAGTTTTTCCATTCTGTCTGTAAAAAGAGAAGGATGACTATGATGGTTGGCGGCATACGTTGTAGAGACACTTGTTCGTTTAAGTATACAGTAGAATAGAAGGAAACAATGTTATACTACATTAAAAGAAAAAGAAGTAGGCAGAATAAAAAAAAGAATAGAAGAACGAAGAATGGAAAGAGAGACATGATTCCTGCTATTAATGATAATACTATTCGTCAATCAACATTAAGATAACGTTGAATAATAAAAAAACATAGAAGAATCCATAACTTCTTTCCCAGACAGATGGTTGCGTGACACATCTGCATTCATAACATGCTCTCTTCGCCGGTACTGTATTAGAATCTCTAACAATAAAATATCAATTAAAAATGTACCGGAATTAGACGTAGATATTGTCATTATTGTCCTCATTTTTGTCTTACTATAACGAGAGTAATATTGTTGATTTATCCAAATAGAAATAATATTTTAATTTTAGTATACAAATTTTTTTCTCATCAAGCAATACTATCAAATAGACATATATCATATTTCACATATGCGGTTGACATACAAAAATCTTTTTCTTGTTTCCTTTTTTTTTACTAGCTTACAACTAATCCTTATTTGATTACTTCTTTTTTTTCATAGGAATAATGTATAACATCGAATTCAAGTCTAAAGTAAGCAAGAGATTGAATTCGTAAATTCAACTATACATAAATTATAAGTAGTTAAAATTAATATTACAGGTAAAAATAATTATTTTTTTTTTTCTATTCTATGTCTTATCATATTTAATATAATCAATTGATTGTTATAGTTTCTTCTGATTTTGTCTCTGCATAGAATAATGATAATTATCCAGTTGATGCGACATCTAACAAAAAATTAACATTACATTCAGGTAGACACAGTGTTTTTTTTTAATAATTTTCTAGTAATATATTATACTTTCCGTATTATAACAGCAAAATCTTCCGTTGTTACAGAGCATTTCTTCTGTTAAGTACCATTGACAATTTTATTAAGTACGATTTGAACAAGATGTCAATATTAGTAAAATGGGTTAATAAAAAAAAAAACATATATATATATATATCTAAAGAAAAAAATCAAATGTTTAATAGTTTTTATTCTGAGTTACATTAAAAAAGAAGAAAAGAAAAGAAAAGAAGCAGAACAAGTGTTTATTCAAAGAAAAGAAAAAAAATTGAACTCCATAATATATCATTTTAACGACCATATTTTTGAAATTCCCATTCACGATTATCCAATGGACATACTTGACGTGTTTTAAGCCATCGTGATATACAATGAAAATGAAATGCCTAATAAATAATCAATAAAAATATTATATTCAAAAAAAAATTAAAAATTCTTTTATACATACATGATTACATACACCCCAAGCAACAGTACATTCTTCAGTTGTTGCTGCAGCTTGATTTGCTTGACATTCAATACAAAGATCCATAATATGATTACGACATATAGCACAATTATCAACAACAATATCCCATGCCCATAATGTTACAGCATTCCATTTTTTAACTTCAAAACGTTTACGTTGTCCAATAGTTGTATCAGTTGTTGAACCACTTGGAGAATCAGCATCATCAATATTCATAGGTGTTGCTTCTGATGTAGCCATTTGTTTGCAATTTTCGATTTACTAATTAAACAAGAAATATCTATTATGTAAGAAGTGAATTTTCCAAAGATAAAAAAAAGAAAAAAACAATTCTATTTATAGAAAAAAGAAAATTTAAATCTATATATATATATAACATGATATAATAAAAAAACAAAAAGAAATAAACACAAATAAGAGAAAGAGAGAGAAAAAAAATGCTATTTTAATTCGTCTGTTTTTAACCAATCAATAAAACGTTAACACAGACAACATAAATAATAATAATAACTTATTGTAATTCATTCACTTCACCATTGTCGAATGATTATTTTTTTTATGTTTTTTTTTTCGGGTTTCAGATTTTGTAAAGATTACAAAGTTTAATATAATGGCAACAAATAATAAAACTAAAATAGCTTTAATTACTGGTGCTAATAAAGGTATTGGTTTTGAAGTTGCACGTCAACTAGCTCAAATGGGTATTCATGTACTACTTGGTTCTCGTGATGAACAACGAGGTAAACAAGCTGTTGAAAAACTTCTTGCCGAAAATCTTCCTGTATCATTAATTCAAATTGATGTTACTAATCAATCATCAATTGATGCAGCTGTTAATGAAATTACAAATAAATATGATCATTTAGATATACTTGTTAATAATAGTGGTATTTATGTTAAAGAACCACGCCCAAGTCAAGTAACATTAGATTTATTTCATGATAATTTTAATGTTAATTTTTTTGGTGCATTTTTTGTAACAAAATCATTTTTACCATTAATTCATAAATCTTTATCAGGACGTATTGTTAATGTAACAAGTGGTCTTGGTTCAATTTATTTTCATCAAACATGTAAACAATCATATTTTCATTTAGCATATAGTACATCAAAAGCATCATTAAATATGTTTACATATCAATTAGCACAAGAATTAAAAAATACAAATATTAAAGTTAATGCTTGTACACCTGGTTTAACAGCAACAGAATTAACTAATTTTCATGGTCATTCAGTTGAAATAGGTGCTAAATCAATTATTTTCTTAGCAACATTACCTGATGATGGACCATCAGGAAAATATTTTAATGAATATTGTCAAGAAGATAAATGGTAATCGAACTATTGAAATTTCGATTTTTTTTACTAATTGTAATGGGTATGGCTGATATATATATATATATATTTAACTATTCATTCTATATGTGCAAATATTTTATTGTCATTTTAATGCATTCCATTTAATCTAGTCAAACTTAATATATATATATACAATTGATGTATAATTTCAGATTTAATTAAAAGTTTCCTTTTTCTTTTTTGTTTTTTTTTTTGAAACAACAAGAAAATTAATAAAACAAATATGATGAAAAGAGTAGCCGTAGTAAGTAGAGATAACGTTTTTATTTTTATATGTAGAAATTTGATTTACTTTTTTTTTAATTTAAGGTTACTGGAGCAAATAAAGGCATAGGTTACGCAATTGTAGATAAACTTTGTTCATTGTTTGATGGAATTATTTATTTAACTGGTAGGTAAATTTATTATTTTCTTTTTTTATTAATATCAAATATATATATATATAGTATATAACCTATAAAAATGATTAATATTATTTGATTTTCCTTTTCTCTGGTATATGATATATGTTTTTCTATAAGTTTTGATCTTGAATTGATTATTTAAATAGATTTGTTTGGAATTGTACAAATTACAAGATGTCAATACAATCTTATTACGTAGTAGTCAAAGCTAAATTGACTTTCTTTTTTTTTGTTTTTGTCTGTTAACGATCAGTAATTTGCATGTAAAATTTGTACGCAATTGACCTTTTATACCATTGAAAAGATATATCAATGGTTTAAATGAAAATTTTAAGGTTTTTCTTTTTTTTTTTTTTACAATTGATCTGACCATGATTGGATGATTATGCTTATTGCATAACATATCTATGTTTATTTTAAAAATTTTCTTATTTATATAATATCATTTGAATAATTTCAATATTGTTTAGCACGTAATGAAGAATTTGGTTTACAAGCTCTTAAACAACTTCATACAACAAATCCTGATAGTGAAAAAAAAGTTAAATTTCATCAATTAGATATAACAAATGTTGAAAGTATTCATCGACTTGCTGAACATATAAAACGAACACATGGTGGATTAGATATTCTTATAAATAATGCAGCAATTGCTTTTAAAGTAATAAACAAAAACAACAATAACAAAAAAAAAAGATATATTTATGATTTAATTAAGAATATTTTATTTCTAGTCAAATGATATTACTCCATTTGGTGATCAAGCTGAAATAACAGCTCAGACAAATTTTTTCGGTACGATTAATGTATGTAATGCTTTATTTCCGCTTCTACGAGATCATGCACGGTTCGTTGTCTTATTATGTTTTTTTTTTTTTTTGTTTGTCTTTTATAATTATAACTATTAAATATTATTTCTATAGTATTGTCAATGTCTCTAGTCGAGCTGGAATGCTTGATTCAATAAAAAATCCTGAAATACGTCAAAATCTAATTGCACATACAGCAACTATTGAATCTGTATCCGATATTCTTAACGATTTTATCAAGTAAAATATTCCGAAGAAAAAAACAATATATATATATATATTTTTAAAGAACATCGCATCGGATAACTTTGTAAATCTATCATTCGTGAGAAGCTACATTCAATAGAATTAAAACATCAAGTTTTGTACATTTCTGTTTAATGCAACAGAAAAAAAAATTTCAAATATTAAATTGTCTTCAAAGATGTATTAATTTCAAAAGTTTCAATTTCTAAGTATAATGCTCAGGATTATTTCTTTTATAAATCTAATATGAAAAGTAAAAGAAATACATCGACGTAGTTCTTTATACTCTACAAAATGCCATAGTAATCATGTTTACTTATAATTTCCTTCTTAGACTATGCAGGGTTGAATGAGTATGATATTTTATTTGTATGATCCGACATAATGCAAGACAGAAGTTAATGATAAGCATTATTACGATGACATTTTTCTAGAGCATAAACAGCTGCATCGTTCGATACTTATATTTTTCATATTAGATTCATAAAAGAAGATATTACTAGGCATTGTAATTATTAACCAAAACACTTAAAATTGATATATCCTCATTAATAAACTTAATCCTCAAAAAATTGTTTTTTTTTTTTTCATTCAACAAAAATAAAATAGATAGACAGAAATATAAAGAATTTTATGCTTTATCTTTATATCTTATTAAAAATAATATCTAGAGAAATGATAGATTTACCATCTTATCCGATAATATTTTTTACAGTATTGACAAAAAAAAAATATGAGACCAACATATTTTTGATTTGTTTTTTTTGTCTACGAGATCAAGGATGTAAAGCAAATTCTAACAATGATTTGAATGATTGATTAGTTTCTTTATCAACTGTATTCCATATGGAAAATGTCATAGTTGGATTATGAATTAAAAAATTTCAAGTCTCCGAAGACTGTATGAAAATTAATTCTTAAGAATATCATCACAGAGATCAGAAAATTTTGAATACAATGAGAGATCGCCACATTTCATGAAATTTTCGCTTAACAATTGATAAGTATGACAAAAGAAAAAATTGTGTTTGTAGCAATACTATAATCTATTCTTCTTTATAACTTTTCAAGAGAAAATCGTAGAAAATGCTGATTCGAAAACTACTGTTTTGAATTTTTTAGAAAGTTTTCTTTTGTAATTCATTTATGACATTTCGATATAGAATGCAGCTAATAAAGAACTTTATTAATTATTTGAATTTGAATTTAAACTTGAGTTAAATACTTGATATGGAAAAAGAATCAAAAATACATTGGTTTTTTATTTCCGACTAATATCGTGATTTCAAAATGTACTTTTTTTTTTTTAGAAAAGCAAAACAAAATTCACATCAAGATGATGGTTATCCAAATTCTGCTTATGGTATGAGTAAACTTGCTGTAATAGCTGTAACATTGATTCAACAACGACATTTTGATGAAAAACCACAACGAGATATTGTTGTAAATGCTTGTTGTCCTGGTTATATTAATACTGATATGACATCAAGGAAAGGTGCAGGTACACCAGAACAAGGTGCGGATACTCCAGTTTATTTGGCAACACTTGAACCTAATATAAGATCACCACGAGGTGAATTTGTTGCTGAAAGAAAAATTCTTAAATGGAAATGTTAAATTTAATCTTTTATGTTTCTTTTCTTTCTTTTTTTTTTTGTATAGCGAAGAATACATAAATGTACACATGATTATTTTAGAATTTCAAGTTGTTGATTGTAATCTTTTTCGTTTAGTTGACTCTTGCCTTATTCGAGCTATGCATTTTCTGTTCCTATGAAAATCATTAGGGTCATTTATCCAGTCTATTTTTGCAATTTAAAACGGAAAATAAATTAAAAAAAAAATAAATAAAAATAAAAACTTTATATAAATATATTAAATTAATTCTTTCTTTATTTTAATAAAGAAGATGAATTTTTCTCGAATTCTAGATGTCGGATAATCGAACAACACGTATTGAGGCATATTTACCAGTACAAGGTTTACTTTATTTTGATGAACAACTTAAATATGTTATATCAAAACCAAAAATTATGCCATTAAAATCTTTAACATTAGAAAAAGTTTGTTTATATTATTATTGTTCTCTTTTTGAGATATATTATTAAATGATTTATTTTTGATTTTGTTTATTTTAGTTAGAAACATTACAAAATGATGCACAAGAAAAATTAAAACAACAAGAAAAACTTGGAATAGATTTTCAATCGACTGAATGATATGTCCATATAGATATATAAATTTATTATATAAAATTTAATTTTTTTTTAGATTCTAATAATAAATAAATAAAAAAAAAAAAGCATTTTGTCTATAAAAATAAAAACAATATTTCATTTCATTTCTTATCTGCCAGATGACGCATAGATAATTGAACAACTTAATTTTTTTTTGATTTCGTAAGATTGAAACATAATTCAAAGCTAGTTCGATAGAGAATTTATTACTCTATAAAAATTTGCATTTGATTTTTATTAAAGATCTCCTTCTTGAAGGCGATGTTAGCCTAGGGACATTTTAGTTGTATGATATTTTTAGGATATGTTGAGGCTATGATAATATTTTTAGTTCGATGTTACAATGTTTTCGAAAGATAGTCAACTAACAAGAATCATGCATTTCTTATTTGGTGATCCGAAATTTCCTATGAACTTTCTTTTTATAGACTTAATTACTTTTTAAAAGAAAGAAATTCTATGTCTACTCTAATTATAAAAGTACGTTTTCATATAATAATAGTAACAAAGCTTAATTAAAAAATTGAGCTTTGTCATGCTCTACATCTTGACATGATCTTTTAAACAAAGAGAAGCCGTTAGGTTCAAAGAAGTTCGTTTGAAAATTCTAAAAAGAGCGTCTGCAAAGAATAAAATAGTTCATTTTATCTGAAGAAACGAGGTGTCAAATAAAATAAAAATCCTATCATCTATGAAAGATCACATCTTAGGTCACTTTTTCATGTATTTATCTCAATTTTCATGTTTTTCATGGAAATTAATTTTTTTTTTTTTAGGAAAGACTTACATACGTTTTTCCTGTCGACGAAAAATTGGGAAAGATTGACGACTGCCTAACTTCGAACATCTAACGATTCTTGGAAGCTTATATTCATTCAGTTCGATATGAAATATAAAGCATTTACTATCCATAGTTTGGTAATTGTATGCTGTTTACTGCTAAAATCTTCCCAAGGTTTCTAATGATGCCTATTCAGATGTAAAAGGCTTGGAACTAACAGCAGGTGGTATTCTGTTTTGAATGCACTTTCGAAAATTGTATTTTCAAAAGTTAACGAAAGATTCTATTGCATCATTTTTTTAAAATTTTTGTTTTGAAAAATTGTTTTTTTTTCTCGAACCGCAAAACATCGAACGTTGGTAGTACATTTCGAAATTCGATGGAGTTTTTCTTTCAACATTACTTATTGTTTGATAGTTTGTTTTTTTGTTGTCTTATAGTCATTGTCAATCTATTTCGATTTTTTCTTCAACATAGTTTCGTAGAGAGAAAAATTCTCTATCGAATGTGTTTAGTATGATGTTTATAAGAAAAGAAAATCAGGGTGCCATTGTTTATGAGCCACTTGTTATATATGAATACTAAATAAATATATTCATTCATAATAACAGCAATTAAAAATTTCAACGGCAGTCTTTAATTTGCATGAAAGTAACCAGATATCGAAGTAAATAGTCGAATTTAGGAAAATTTATAAGAATTCAATGTAGTTCGAGTTCCTTTTTCCTCTTGCAACAAAAAAAAATTCTGATTGTTTCGACATCAATGATTGACATGCTAAATTTAAAACGGAAAAAATACGTCGCTCATCTTAAGACAAGGAAATTGCATGTCAGAATAAATTATTGATTGAGAAGATCTTGAATAATACAATTATAGATATATATATATATATATATGTAAGACAATGTAAACTTTATTGAATTTTTTTTTCATAAGAACGCAATTGTTATTGAATGAATGTTCTTTTTGAAAAAAAAAATCCATTTTCTGATTCATAATTATTGTTTTATTTTTGTTGACATGCAGTAAATAGTTTTTTAATGGCATAAGTATATTTTCATAGTTAAGTATGACATATTTTGAAAAATGATGGTACTTTTTTCTGCTTGTTGATAAGAAAAAAAAAGTCAATACATTATGAATCATAAGTACGATCATTATGTTGCTATGCAAGAGATATACTATTATTTCTATATTTTCTTAAGATAATCAACATATTTTTAGCGATGGAGTGAAATTATAATGAAAAACAAAGGCTTTCAAAAGATTTTTCTTTCAGTTAGACTTTGTGAAACTATTTACGTTGATATTTTATTGTAAAAAAATTGATAAATAAATAACAATGCTTGTATCAAAATACTGAAAAAACTTAATATAGATCTATTGCTAGAGCTTCGATATCTTACTGTGTTTCGATTATACAAACGGCATTTACTTGTTAAATTAGCAAGTTTTTTACGACAAATGATCAGCATAGATGGCTCTAGTGAGCCTGAGAGGCGAAAAGGTTTTCTAAGAATCGCTGATTTTTATGGGCGACTACCCATTGAAATATCTAATTATATTTTTATAATTTTGAAACTCTTCATGGTTCTAGAGCACATTATCATCCAATGAATTATCAGTAAAATACTTTCGAATACTGTTTTCGATGAGCTTTCATTTGATATAAAAATTCATTTTTATCGCACTAACATGTTTGAGCTGTACATCGTGAAAATACATTTTCGGCAACCTTTTAGCATCAAAGTATATTCAATATGTCACATACAGTTCTACTGAAAATTGTAAGAACAAGGTATAATTGACTTTTTTTTTCTTTGATTTCGATAATAAATAAAATTCTCTTTCAAATATACTATAAACGAAGACTTCATAGTTGGACAAATGTGGAAAAGTTTTTTAGAAAACTGATTTCAGTAATTCTCAGATTTACGAATGCGTTGTGGGAGTTCGCTTTTAACTCTGAGCAAAACCAGTGATCATCACGTTTTTTTTTATGTAGCGCTTTGTTTTTGTGACGCTCGTAGCTTTGCACAAGAAAGTCGTAAGAAACGCAGTGACCCTGCTTTTTTTGTTCAGAAGTTTGTCCTCTTTCTCATGATACTATCAAAAGCGAACTATCATGGCGTACAATCGAAGCTAAGAACTATTGTATTTGATCCTTTAGAAAATTGTCTCACATTCTTCACCTATGATGCCTTGATATACAGTGCGTCTAATAGATCAATGCATAGACTCTTCAAATTTCTATTTTGGTTTTAGTTAGATGCTCTGCATCACAGTACAATAAAAACGAACAGTATCTTGTGCTTATCATTTTGAGTAATATTGTTCATTTAAATTGCTTATCCATGTTCAAATATTGCAAAAAAAAGAAAAACTAAAAATATGACTGTTATGTATTGGCCATTTGGTTTACCATATATCACACGGTCGATCATTCGTTTAGTGTATGATATTCTCTTCTCTCTTCGGTACCTGTGATCTATGTTATTCTGGGCTTCTTTTATCATTTTTCCTTTGTTCACTGTTACATAGTGTTTCACTTCTTTTCTTTTCAATTGTTACATATACGTTCCTACCCGTCTGACCTATCCTTCTTGACTGACATCTTTTTTTGTAACTCTTCCTGTTGTTCATTTTTCAGTCAGCCGAAGAAGCCTCTCAACTTCTTTCCTGACTAGTCCAATTTTTCTTTCACTATATATACGTGCTTCCTAGCTTTTGGGAGGAGGTGAGCACGCAGTTACTCTATCTTTTCAAAATAAAGTAGTGACATAACAATGACTGAAACTTATGAGACATTTATTATTCCGACTTACAATGGAGGTGTGTGTATTGATGAGCGAAAAAGTGGCACATGTTCGGGTCAAATGAAAGCTCACAACGTCAAGCTAACAAGGTTAAAATATTAGCTGCTGTTGGCTTGCCTAGAGAGAGATATTTAACTTTGAAGTGTAGGTATAAAAATGAATCAGGAAAGGTTTTCTTCACTATTATAAGGACAAAACATAGTGTTGTTCGGGGCGATTAGGGAGTTTGTAGGGACTCTCTTTCATATGGCCCGAACAACACTATGTTTTGTCCTTATAATAGTAGAGTGAATTTTTCTAGTGATTGATAGAAAATGCCGTTTCCATGACCTACAGGAAAAATTCACTGTACTATTGTAAGGACAGAACATAGTGTTGTTCGGGCCATATGAAAGAGGGTCCCTACAAACCCCCTAATCGCCCCGAACAACACTATGTTTTGTCCTTATAATAATGAAGAAAACCTTTCCTGATTCATTTTTATACCTACACTTAAAAGTTAAATATCTCCCTCTAGGCAAGCCAACAGCAGCTAATATTTTAACCTTGTTAGTTTGACGTTGAGAGCTTTCATTTGACTCGAACATGTGCCACCTTTCCGCTCATCAATACACACACCTCCATTGTTAGAAAAAAAAACAATATACGTTGAAATACGATTTAGAATATTTTAACTTCTACGCCAAATCAATCGATTTCCTGTTTATAGAGTGTAATTTTAAAAACTTCAGTAACCAACCACTAACGAATGCATGTATTTATTCAAACTATACAAATAAAGATTTTTTTATAAGTAGAACTACTGAAGGCACAAAGCAAATATTAATTTGCAAAGAAATGCTTTTACTAATCGTTTAGTATAATTTAAAGTAAACCATATATATTTATTTAATGCTTTTTGTACACTCGAATATTGAAGATAATATAAAAATTTTTTTTTTTCAAGGATTTCTACTAGAGAAAAACAATGAACAACAAAATTAAAGTATACACAAATAATTAAAAATATAAAGCTTCCATGGAAGATATATTTACGCTCAAATGTATTTCAATCATATTAATTTTATGTAAGAAAAATGTAATCCAAAATTACAACAAAATAAATATATTAATAGATGTTAAATAATTAATTACGTTGAGATGGATCTTTAAGTATTTCTAAAAGTAATTTTTTATAATCTCCACTTGTATCTGAACTAATATCACGTTCTAATTCATGATGATATTGATGATTATATGCTTTTTTTATTTGAACAAGATCAATTTCTGAACGTGTTATTATTATTCGATTTAATGTTGATTCTTTTGTACCTAAACCCTATTATATTGAAATAAAATAATTTATCTAAATGAAAAAGAAGTTTCTTACTTTTACAGCATCA